AATACCTATTGTGAGCCAGGTCTTATCTGACACCAGTACCTGACCTCACAAATGGATAAAAAGTTCCATAGACACACAGGAAATATTGTGGAAAGTAGAGACTGTTATACCCACAAAGAAGGTCAACTTCATAATTTTGGAATGGGATGTCCAGCAAGCCAAAAGGTGTGATGATCAGGTGTTTTTATTTTCTTCTGTAGCACCAAATGCATCTCACCACAAAAGGATAAGATAGATTTTTCTTCTAAAAGCCAGTCCTGGGCAGAATAGTACATGTGATTTGAATAATTCATATTTAACCTTTGAAAAGTGACACCATCTCTTCAAAAATACAGAGGAATGATTAAATTATACTATTGAGTTGTGTGAACGGCACTAGCCTCTATACAGGGAAACACGTAAACCTGACCGTAGCTGTGTCTTTAGGAAACTTAAGTTAGCGGTGCTTTAAAAACTGTTATCCTTTAAAGTCATACTCAGGAAATATGTGGGCTGTGACAGCTCAGAATATAAAGACAAAATTTGATGCATATCATTCATAAAGAGATATACTTAAAGGTCAGTCTACTTAAAAATATTTTAGTGGTAGATACTAGAGAGTTAAGGCACCAAATAGTCCCTGAGGGACTCTGTTGGTGAGATCTCTGTGCTGCGTTCCCATGTGTGTATACCTGTTGTGTCCATTATGAGGGGCTTCCACCATCCCTTCACTGAGCTCCTGGGTCTATACACCTGCTGTGCCATTATACTGTGCTCCCACTATACCTGTGCAGCCCACGTCCTGAATGAAAGAAATCCAAAGCCGCCAGAGCACTTTACTGCTCTAGCAGCTGTCTGTTGCCGGCTTTGTTAGGGGGTCGTATGGTGTGCAATTCAGTGCATCACACGGCTCCCTTTTTTTTTTTTGTACAAACTTTATTTGAATTGTAAAAAAATAAATAAACACTTTGTTCATGGCACTGTACAGTAGCGCAGCGTGTTGCACTGCGCTGCCCTACAGTACTATGTGATTCTGTGCAGTGAGCTGCAATAAAATGCAACATGTCTGCATGTAAGCTCCCTCCTAGATTGTAAGCTCCAAGGAGCAGGGCCCTCCATCCCCTCATGTTTTGCATTGTATTGGTATTGTTCTGTCACATGTTCTGTCCCCCTTTGTAATGTACAGCGCTGAGCAAACTATTGGCGCTTTATAAATACTGTATAATAATAATAATAATTTAATCACAGCACGTTGCAGCACAGCCCTAGGCTGCATTGCTGTGTAAATGAGACACATAGGAAACTATTGTTTCTCGTGTGTCCTTGTGGTGACAGACATTTTACAATGCAGTAAAACATCTGTCACTGCACACTATGTGAATTAGCCCTAAAATAGCAAAAAAGGCAAAGGTGCACTTGGGAAGGGAAATATACAAAACAGTAGAGAAAAGGGGTTCCCAGCACAACTTAATCTAGCCAGCAAAAAAATGTTACACTGTATTTTGTTTTTTTTATAAATACTTGCATTCAATGCTTGTTTCTTAAGCCTTTAAGACAATTAAAGTGGAACTTCACTCTCTCAATAAACATGGACTATGTTTAGTCCTTATGCTGCTAGCATTAGTAAATAGATAGGAAATGATATCATATTTACTTGTTTTAAACATTTTTTTACATTTCTGCAGGTACTTCCTTGTTTCCATGCCTTGGCAACTTAAGTCATACATCCAAGCAATCTTCAGGGGAGGAGGGAGGGTTCTCAGCTCAGCATATGCCTGAGCTAAGGACAGATGGATTTCAGGAAGTAATTGATACATGAATCATCTGCCCCCACTCAAGATGGCCACTGCCAGAAATGCTAGGGGGGTGTTTTTAAAAATAATTTCTCAGCAAAGAAAAGCATGGGGACATGGATGGATGGGGGAGTTTGCTTTGAATATTAAAAATGAATTAAAGAGCATTTTTGGTTTGTGTTGCTCGGATGCAGTGCAGTTCCACTTTTAGTAAAACCCAGCCAAACCCTTTTCTTTAGTCTGGTATAAAGTGGTGCAGGGTTAAAATTTCTGTCCAGTCCTAATGCTGTGTGTGTCCCCAACATGAAGACTTACAGAATGTTCACTTCCTGTCCTGGTGACACTATAAAAGTAAGGGGAAGTTCAAACTTTACAGTTGTCACCAGAACAGGAGTAGAGGATCTACAAATAACTGTTGGTTTTCCTTTGCACAATTAGCTGGTGTTATTTTGAAGACAGCCATCTCTGTTATAAAAATTATTCCTATCATGAGGGTTTGATCTACCCCGTGAACAGATTTTGGGAGATGACTATATAACAGCATTATCAAATCTAAATAGCAAGTCAGAAATTGTGTTGTGTCAAAACCTAAGTAAGTATTAAAAAAGTAGTGTGGGCCTTAAAAAAAAAAAAAAACACTTTATACTCACCTCGGTACATACAGCATCGATTTGATGCTGCATCTGTCAGTAGCTGAATCTGCACTAAGAACTGAGTGATCAAATACTGCTGATCGCTCAGTTCTCCCCTCTGTTCTGAGCAGAGACCTGTGACTGTTAGTCACAGGCTCTCTGCTCTGCCCCTCCAGCGCTTACTGGAGTTCTGGGCTGTGGAGGGAACGGGAGCAGATCGCCCAGGCTATCAGTGGATCACTGTGAGGCTGATCCAGCTGCTGATCTTCTTTAAACCTGCTTCCACCCCCATTCTAAGTCCTGTGCTACTTATCGTGTAAAGGAAAGATGTGTATACCTAGCTAATCTAAGGGTGTTCCAGTTCAGTCACATGATCTCCCCAGGAGTTGGCTTTAAGGGAGAGGAGAGAGCAGCGACAATGGCTGCACAGCCTGTGTGTTGACATCACCTATAGACTTACTATGGGGCATCTGTTGTCTGCTGTCCCTCCTCTCCCCTGAAGCCAGTGCTGGGAGCTGATCACATGACTGGATCTGAGCGCCCTCAGAATAGGTAAGTACACTCATCTTTCCATTTGGTTAGTATAGGGCTAGAATAGGGGGGGGGGGGGCACTTTTAAGCTTACTTAGGTTTTGACGGGACTTCCACTTTAACATTTTTATTGTACACTTTTAAAGTGTATTTTCATCATTGTAGACAAATTTTGGAAACCCCCACTTTATGTTTGTTATGTGTTCCCATTCACACAGCATACCTAAAATGAATGTAAAGATAGTTCTAGTTGTGTCTTTGGAGCAGGTTTATCCATAGGACTCTACACACAGTGTGCATTATTTAGAATAACTTGCAATGTGTATTTAGAGGATAGATGAAGGGACACATTTTTTTCAAAATTCACATGAAATGTACCACTCAAGCTTTGGGGTCTTTAACCCTTTATTAGGACAGACAGTGTGTACATCTTGTTTAGAACTGATAATGAAATCTGCCAGAACAGTATAGGCAGAGTTTCCTTATGGTAAACATACATTTCTAAACCATCCCCTTAACTTTACACAGAAGGGGAAAGTTAACAAAGATTCTTTAGCAACAAGGTAAACAGCAATTGTTAGTTTTAAGTTATGCTATTTGAATAGCAACATGTAACAAATATAAAGTAGGTGTTAGAACAATTTGGCTTCAGACGTGGAAACACACTTTAAGCCACAGCATCGTCGTCTCCACTCGCCTACTCATTATAAATAGCCGGTGGTGTTTTAGCAGTGGCGATGTAGGACTGTCATGTCTCATAATTTTGTCACATGTGTACTATAAAGGACTCAGTGCCTAGGATGACTTTGTTCTCGCTGTCACACGAGCCTGCACTCTATGGTGTCATGAAATGAGACAGCGTAGCTCAGTTGGGTTTATAATTCTGACAGCCCTTTTCCTAATAAGATTCCCCCATCTGTCTGGGCATGTTTTACAAGGCATCATTTCAGTTATGATACCTAACAACATACACTGCCAGCTCTGAGCAGGGAAATCTGGGTTGACATTTTCTACTTTATCTGTACAGTTATTATATCCTCGTTAAACTGAGTAAAGAACAATCAAACTTCATTAGCATTGGGATTTATGTTCTGATTCACCCTAATTGAGTCCCCTCTGTTTGTGCTCCCTTCTCCAGCCGAGCAGTTTAAAGTGTATTTCCAGATTTGCAGCCAAATTGGGTTACCATGTAAGGCCCTTTAGAATAGTGTCTACTCTGCAGCATCAAGGAGGTGGATCAGTACTTACACTTGACCCTTGGGGCATATATAAATGGACCATAGGGAGTAAAGAAGAGCGTAGACTGGAGGTGTTGGTGCACGGTCACGGAGGAAGAGGCTTACACCCCAGTGGGAATAGGTTTGTAGTTGGCCTGCCATAAGAGATCCTGCTGCTGCTCTGTAGATTAGATAGGTGTCCCTGCTCTGTCGTGCTCATCTTGGGCCTGGATGACTCAAGGAACCTGGGAGGCAGAGACCTGGAGCTACCAGCTGAATAAGAAAGAATGTTTCCCAGTGACAGCTGGGGTGCTCTATTTCTTGCATGTTCCAATCCACACAGCATAACTTGTGTTATTATTTCAGGTACTTATATAGTGCTGTCAATTTATGCAGCGCTTCACATATATATTGTACATTCACATCAGTCCCTTAAACCTCAAGGGGCATACAATCTAAGGTCCCTAACTTACATTCATACATACACATACTAGGGCCAATTTAGACAGGATCCAATTAACCTACCAGCATGTCTTTGGAGTGTGGGAGGAAACCCACACAGGTACAGGGAGCACATGCAAACTCCAGGCAGGTGGTGCCGTGGCTGGGATTCGAACCAACAACCTTAGTACTGCCAGGCAGAAGTGCTAACCATTTAGCCACTGTGCTGATATTGTGTTAATATAAATGTTTAGAAAATGCTGCTTACCTTTTTACTTGCTTAAAAATTTTACTTAGTTTTAGTTTTAAAATTATATTGGAAGCCTATGATGGCTGTGATGAATGTTCAAATCTCTGGAATTAAAACTTTGATAGAACTGGTTCTGATGCCCTATACTTCTTTTCAGCATCCAGAATGGAGTAATATCCGTGTTTCAGAAGAAAGGCCTTCAGGATCATGAACTCTACAACCTCAATGAAGGGGTCCGGTGAGTGTGGAGCTTACAGATACTGAATTGAACCATTATACTTTATGGGATAAAACATCAAGGGAGGCTGAGAACCTTTGGCGAGGTGGGGCAAATACAACCAAGTGGCCCTTTCCTGGTAGGGATAGATTCCTACACACTGAGGAACATCTACCCCACAAAATGTTCAATGGTGCCTCATTGATTGATGGGCATAGTGAAATATAGTTGATTTGATTGACAAAACTTTTCACATCTTTTGACATCAGACTTTGCAGCTCTTGGCATCTCCGTGCCACAAAGGAAGTTGAAAGTCCATAATCACATGTTCTAACAGGGTGCAGCTAGACTGTGCAATTCCAACCATGTGTCATTGACTGCAAATTTCATTCTTAACAATGTTCAGTGAGGGCCACCAACCCAACATATCCTATCAGAAATGGTCCAGAGAGCAAAAGCCCCCAATTCAGTCCTTCCCTGGATAACATAACACTCATTTATACAGGAGAAAGGTAGAACAGTTTTAGTCTGCAGACATTTTAGATGATTAATATCAACTGTATCTAAAATTTTAATGTGATTTCATTTTTTTTTGCCTGCTGTTGTTTAAATTTCGTAATCACATTTCATATGCAGAGGATATGTGGATATTCAGGTGTGCGACCAACACCCTTGCTGAATGGTTTTGGGAGAGAACATCCATTACAAGATAACCTTCTTGGAGATTGTAGTGTGTTCTATTTTTCACTGTAGGTTTAAGATTCTGTATTGTTTTGCAATACAAGGAAATCTGTCATAAGAGGAATAGAAGCTGTAATTGTTGACCTCTTCTTTTGATAATGCCGCTTGCCTGGCTGTCAAGGTGATTTTTTTCGCTTCAATAAATTTAGTCACAGACCTAAAACAAGTATGCAGGCAAGAACTGACATTCTATCTTTTTTGGTTTGCAGATTTGTTCTAGTTAAAGGCCCATTCATATTTATGTGTTACATGTGCATCGTGATGGAGTGCTTTGCAGTGCCATTTATTTTGAATGGAAGTTCAATGTAGTAGCAACCAATGTACCAGTACTGTAGCACACAACATACATACCGTGCATTTTTGAGAATAGCAAAAAAAATAGGATTTTGGGCCATTGCCATGCTTTGCAAGGGTAGACCAGTCATTAGGTGAAAGTTGCCTGCGCAACATAACCCAGCTCCTGTTAATAATGATCACATATATACAGTAAATTCTTATATATATTATTATTATTATACATTATTTATAAAGCACCAATAGTTCGCTCAGCGCTGTACATTACAAAGGGGGACAGAAAATGTGACAGAACAATAACAATACAATGCAAAACATGAGGGGATCGAGGGCCCTGCTCTTTCGAGCTTACAATCTAGGAGGGAGGGGATGGTGGCACAGGAGGAGATAGCTGTGGGGGATGGAGTGGTAGGAAGAGTGGAGGAGGTCGGCAAGTTAGCAGGGGGTGGGGTAGGCTTCCCTGAAGAGATGGGTTTTCAGGGTGCGCCTAAAGGAGAGGAGAGTAGGTGATAATCTGATGGGTTGGGCAGGGAGTTCCAGAGGATGGGTGACACCCTGGAGAAGTCCTGGAGGCGGGCATGGGAGGAGGAGACCAGGGAACTAGAGAGAAGGAGGTCTTGTGAGGAGTGGAGTGTGCATGTTGGGTGGTACTTGGATATTAGGTCAGTGATGTAGTTCGGGGCAGTATGGTGGACAGCTTTGTACGTCAGTGTTAGGATTTTGAATTTGATCCGTTGCGCAATCGGAAGCCAGTGGAGGGATTGGCAGAGGGGGGTGGCGGAGATGGAGCGGTTGGAAAGGTGAATGAGTCTGGCAGCCGTATTCAGGATCGACTGAAGCGGGGATAGCATATGGCGAGGCAGGCCAGTGAGGAGGGAGTTGCAGTAGTCGAGTCGTGATATGATGAGGGAGTGGATGAGCTGTTTAGTGGTTTCTGGGGTTAGGAACGTGCGTATTTTGGTGATGTTGCAGAGGTGGAGTCTGCACGAGCTAGTTAAAGATTGGACTTGGGGCTGGAAGGATAGGTTGGAGTCCAGAATGACACCAAGATGGCAGATTCCATTTAGGGATTCCAGGAGATAGTTCACCCTGTGTATGTTCACCCAGTGTGTTAGTTCTGCCTTAGCTTGGATGACAATCTATTATGAAAATAATAAAAATAATAAGAACATTGACTAGGATCCAAAAACTGGAAACTATTGAAATCCATACTAAAGTTTAAAATGAAAATGAAAAAGTTTGACAGTAAATATAAATCACACAGCGAATCTTCCATTAGAATAGTTGAGAAAAGTGCGTTGTATTATGATTCATGATACAGTCACATCATGATTTGCAGAACTGTCTGACCAAGATCATTTCACTTTATTGCATCAGTTACTACAAATGAAACTTAGAGGAAAAATGCATCACTTTTGGAAGGGTAGGAAATGTATAGATAACCTGTTTCCCTGCCCACCCTCTCCCCCACCCCCCTAAGATTGCCATATACGTATAGTTTTGTGATTTGATCTAGGTATGTGTGATCACAAATCAGTGATTCATTATCAATTGAAAGTGTGATCTATTAGAAATATTCTATAAAAACGACCACTTAATTGATTGTCTCGCACACACACAAATATTCATTTGATCGTTCAATTGTTACAATCCGGTCAGTCAATCGACTTGCCAGTGTAAAAAAACAAATGAAAGCTCACTAAATCAATCAAATAAAGAGTCTGCGGTGTATGATTCTTATTCATTTTAATCATTTTAGTTACACTGAATAACCAATTGAATGCTCATTTAAATATGTGTGTGGTCACCTCCATTCTCTCTGTTTTTATATCCCCCCTCCCACACACACACACACACACTTTTTCTTTCCTCCTTTCTTTCTTATTCTCTCTCTATCCACCTGTCCCTTTTCTGTCCAATTTTTCCCCTTTGAACTCTCTCTCTTTTTCTTAACACATCATTATCCTCCTCTCCTATCTCTGTTTCTTTCTATCAGCCCTCTCTCTTTCATCACATATCCCCCCATCTGCTCCTCTCTCTTTTCCTCTCTCTCCTCATTCTTTATGCCTACCCTGCTTTTTCTTTCTTTCTTTATGCCTACCCTGCTTTTCTTTCTTTTCTTTCTTTCTTTCTTTCTTTCTTTCTTTCTTTCTTTCTTTCTCTCTCTCTCTCTCTCTCTCTCTCTCTCTCTCTCTCTCTCTCTCTCTCTCTCTCTCTTTCTTTCTTTCTTTCTCTCTCTCTCTCCACCCTCTTTCTTTCTTTCTTTCTTTCTCTCTCTCTTTCTCTTTCCACTCACTCCCCCACCTCTCTTTCTCTCACCTGCCTCTTGCTCTATCCTTCCATCTCCTCAGTCTTTCTGCCTACCTCGTTCTCTCTCCCCCCATCTCTCTCTCCCCTCCACTTTTCTTTTTTCTCTCTCTATCCCTCCATTTCCTCATTCTTTCTGCCTACCTCGTTCTCTCTCCCCATCTCTCTCTCCCCTCCATTTTTCTTTTTTATCTCTCTATCCCTCCATTTCCTCATTCTTTCTGCCTACCTCGTTTCTCTCTCCCAATCTCTCTCTCCCCTCCACTTTTCTTTTTTCTCTCTCTATCCCTCCATCTCCTCATTCTTTCTGCCTACCTCGTTCTCTCTCCCCATCTTTCTCTCCCCTCCACTTCTCTTTTCTCTCTCTCTCCAACTTCCTTCTCTTTCTCCTCATTGTTTCTGTCAACCCTTTTATCTCCCTCTACTCCTCTCTCCCTTCTCTTTGCCTCTCTCTATCTTTCACTGAGACCTCTCTGCTCCATCTCTTTCTCATTACAGCCCTCTCACACATCATGCCTGAAATCGCTGATAGTCACAAGTACCATGACTAAGGGCAAAGCTGACCATTTCATTGGTGCTGGTTACAACATTCAGTTGTGAAATTGTTAGCTTCCCTTTGATGTGTCCTTTTCTAACAACGACCTTCTGGAACACTAATAATGCCCCTGTGTTGGCTGTCTTCTCATACACAGAATACAATAACCCATAGCCACCAAACTTGCAGTGATCTAACTTAGATCTGACTATAGCTAGGGGATATTGCACTTTGAATGACATTCTTGCTCTCTGCACTTTTTAAGTGACAACAAAGATCTGTCCAGTTGACGGAGACTCTTGGATAAAACGTCACCATAAGTATTGTCGCATCCCTGGCCTTTTCTGACGCAAGACACTCTTTCTATATTTGTAAATCTCTGATTAGCTTGTGATAGCAACTTCCCACAAGGCCACAGGTCTATATACAGAGATATTACCATCTGATAGTGACGTCTGTTTGGCATGCGGCTGAGGAAGCCATAAATCATCTCCGTTAGTTAAATATGACCAGAGAGGAATCGCCAACATGATCTTGTTTACTTTAAGGAACATTCAGGAAGAAATTGAATGCGGAGGTTATGTCAGAGCTGAGCCGGATTTCCAGGTAGCTGAAGTCAAGTTTATTTACGGATGGTTATCAGAGAAGAGTAGGCTGCTACTCATCCACAAAGCCTGTGACCATCAAAATAGGAGTGAGCCATTCCTATAAAAAGATACTTTTCACTGTTTAGTTAGCTCAGTATTCATGAAGACATCAGTTTTTTGGGGTTTTTTGGTTTTTTATGTAAGCTGTATAAGTACTTGAACTTGACTTGCTATCAGCATGTTGCAGTTCCTGCTCAGCAGAGCTTAGAATGTGACTGGGGGGTATAGGGCTGGGTGCCATGCAGTTGAGCTGCATGGAAATGTGCTGAAAATGAATATACTGATAGGAGGAGAGAGCAGAGTGATCAGCAACATGCCCAGTCTCCAGTCTCTTGCTGGTTATTCATTGTCCATTTAGAAGACTGGAGGATAGAGAAAGGACATCACTGTATTCCTTAACTGTAAGGCTCCTTTCACATAGGGCAGACTCCGCTTTGCTCAACAGTGGATCTGTCCGCTAATCCCCTGTCAATCAGAGCAGAGTGGGCAGATGACAG